TGAAGGAGTCACTGGGTAACACTGCATCAACATCAGACCTGGATATGTAAGACGAATTTAAAAAGTACAGCAAGTCCAAAATTCCCCTTATCAGTGCCTTTTTTAGTTTAAACTCTGTAAATTTGACCAAATTAAACATGCTTGAAATTCATCATTAACCTCTCCTACCTACAATATAAAAACAAATTAGAAAGAAAAACAACAAAGATTCTTCAGTGAAAAACAGCATTCTCAAATCAACCTAAAACATAACAGAGATTCTTAGTAGAGTAAAACATTGAACACAGTGTAGGACTGAAATAAATAGGGAAACAGGGATGGATAAACGTGACAATGAGCTGAGCTCATCAGTTTCCAAAAGGTACGATTGTCCACGGTTATGTAGAGGATGGATGGGTCAGGAGTTCTCAGTTTCACAGTAAGAGTGTAGAGGAGTAGGTGAGAGTCATCAGTCAGCAGCTGGATGGGACAGAGGATGTGTGTGTGTGTGTAGTATTATTACTAGGAGTGCATGTTTCCTTCAAAATTTGAATGACTACAATCCATAGACCAAGAGGAAAGACCTTAAGACTGCTTGACCTTGTTCTTTTCCTGATCGTTGATGTGCTGTTCCTCTCTGCTGTCCTCTCTTTCTGGCCGGTCATCACTCTGGCGAGCAATGAGCAATCGGCAGGTGAGCAGAATACCAAAGACTAGAGCGTGGGCGTACCGTTTCAGGGGGTCTCCTACTAGCTGGTGAAAGAAGAGCACAGCCAGCATGACAAGCAGCAGCAAGAAGTTGGCTACGTCCTTCGGCCGGCCTGGTACAAGGGTGAGAACCACCCCACAGCCCACCTCCAGAGAGCCAATGATCTTACGTAGCAGGACTGAGCTGATCCCGATCTTCTTCAGGCCCGGCAATGCTTTGGCATAACTCTTGTATGCCCTTTTCTAGAAAGAAAAAAGAAATCTTCATGAATACCTATAGTGTGTAACTTTGGCCTACAGGCTGCTATGAATGTCCTTTAGTGAGGCCATGTAAGGACCAGGTGGAGTCACCACACTCAGGTCAGCAGGTACAACATCTAGATGACAGTTTATCATCACTGTGGCTGCACAATGACTCTCCAGCCTATTGCTCACTATTGCTCACTGCTCGAGAAAACCTGCAAACTCATTCAATTATGATATTCAGTGAGCTTGGGAATGCAGTAATTAAACCAACAGGCATGCCATCGATGATCTTCCACAGGATAGTTCAACATCAGCACCCGCAGGTGCATCTCACAGAAATTGCTCGAATGCGCCACCATTGCTCTCCAACTGCTAAGTTGCTTCTCTATCTATCTTATCTATCCATCCATCCATGGGAGCTACAAGACATTTTAGGTTATAAAGGCCAATCTCTCACTTCCAAAACTGTTAGTTATCCCGCATGCTTGTTTGTATCTTTAAGCTGAATTACAGCATGTTTTAAGAAGAAAGAAAAAGGAAGTGCTTTCATTCATTCATTATTCATCCATATTCAGCTAAGGATAGGCCCGTTTTAAACCATTTTATGTATGCTATCTGTTTACAGGGATGACTGCTAAAATAATTTGAGTCTTATCCTAAAACACGGTGGCTTAGCATGCGTGCTAAAAGTATTGTTGCAGGCAATAATAGCAGGTCATTTGTATAACCGTACAGGACTCTCCACTGGGAAAACAAGCAACAGACAGGCCTATTAAAAGAGCAACCCAGCATCTAAAACACTCATTTTCCCGTCCTTTTACTATTTAGGTCAGCTTCCCTACACATTGAGTCTGTAGTCACCGCAGAACAATGGCCTTTACCCCCCCCCAAAGATGCGGACACTTCACGGGTAAGACTCAACGCTACTCACCATTTCGTCGTATGCATCTTTGCTTAGTCTCGGGGTGAGCTTAATGGTCCCCATAAACACGAAAAATAAACCCAGAGCAAAAGAAAGAGCCACAATGGTTATTGTCCTTGGTGAAGCCATTTTTCAGTACCGTGCATGCGGCCGGGCGCTTCCCGCTGAGCTGAATGAAAATCGGAACGTTTCCCAGTGAAGATGCGCGAGGGGGATGGGCTTCTGGATCTACCATAAAAATGGCGACCGGGGTCCCTGCCTGCTCCGCATCCAGCAGCAGCAGGAAGGGAGCTGCTGGATGCGGAGCAGGCAGAAGACCTACTTCTCATCTTAGTTTAAGAACAAGATTAAAGGGAAGGGACACGCATCCTACGTGAAACACTCATAGTGCTGAATTATGGCATTAGCTCACAGCCAAGATAAAAGCTCTGGGTTCAAGTTGCTTAACAACAACTTTATATATGAGTTTTGTGCCTCTCTGCGATTTTAACGAAAAGAGGTAACATATAAAACCCACTTCTGTGCTATATGCTGAGATAAATGTTTGCATGCATTATCATGGGCATGAATGACATGGTAATTTTGTGCTTTCAATTATTTCCAGAGTGTGAATGGTTATGCAGCATGCACCTTTAATGATTTTAAAAAACAACAAATGGGTGCACAGATTTGAAGTGGCTCAAATGTAAATCTGCATCACCACTGATATTTGCTTGAATGTCCCTTAATAAGTTGCACCTCAACTAGATGCTTGTGGGAGCCATCAACTAGCCTCTGACATAGTTCTGGTTGGATATTTGACCACTCCTCTTGGGAGAATTTGAAGTTTATTTAAATTGGTGGGTTTCCTGGCATGGGCCCAGCTTATAAGTGCAGTCCACAAATTCAGTAGGGTTCAACAGGGTTCAGGTTGAGAAGCTTAAAGTTGGCCTGCTTTATCCATTCCAAATCCATCCTCCAAATTTCAGTCGAGCTTGAAGATGTAGCAGGGGCTTCTTTCATGGTTGGCACTCTCTCAGCCCATGGTGAAGAAAACCGTGCTTCACTGTCAATAGTGACACTGGTGTTCCAGCAATTTCCATTTCATAACAGGCTTGAGCCTTGCTGGTCGCTGGGTTGCTCCTGAATATCCTGACAAATTTTCTCTCATATCTGGGTGCCAGATATTCTTCCTGACCTTGGTGAAGGTCACATCTAAAGGACTTATACAATTGTACATCTTTTTGGTGACTGCTGAGGTCTTTGTAGTCCAGGACAGACCAGCATAAGCCCTCACAGTCACCACTGATGTAGACGGGGAGCTGGTCTGCACTGACATCTTCCTGATGTCAAAGATGATTTGCTTTGTTTTCCTGGTGTTCAGTGTCAGGTTGTTTGCTGAAATCCAAACTAACAATTTCAGGATCTTATCTCTTTTGGTAGACTTGTCACTATCTGAGATGTGTCCACAAACTGTGTTATCATTTGGTAATGTGCTGATGGTGTTACTGGTATAGGCTGGACTGCAGTCATGGGTGTAAAGAGTAAAAACGGGGATCACTGGTCACACAATGGACAAAAAGGAGAGCAGTTGTAGAGTTTCATAGGGAGTAGTAGGAACTAAGGCAGCAGGGTTGAATGAGTCTGTGCGAGAAGGTGCTCTGCTCCCTTCTGTAGTATGGAACGAGATGAGATGAGTCCATGATGGAGAGCAGTTTGTCGAGTGACCTCCTGTCGCTCACTGACTGAAATGCCTCCGGATTCTGGGCAATAATGAATCCACCCTTGTGTATTAGTTTGTTGACGGCGCTGGCATCTCTGATACTGCCCCCACCCCCACCCCCCACCACCAGACAAAAGGAAAATAAATTCCACTATGAAAATGTGGTATCATTGCAATCTGATGATTGGTTTAACATCAGCTTTCAGTGAGTGAACCATTGACAGGCTGTCAGTGAAAGCTGCACTCAGCGATCCGCAAACTGCGAGCAGCTGTGGAAGCGCGACAGTCCTGCCTCCTGTGGAGGACATGGCTGCTAATGCAAATTCATGTTTTCACACATCATATTTGCACATGTTAAAGAAATTAGACATGAAATGTTGACACAGCTCTTTCACTTATTAAGTGGATTTTGCAGCCATTTCCTCCTGCGTTAATTGGCAATTTTCTTTTGTCTGCACAGCTTTAGAAATAGGATTTTTGTAGATTTTAAAGATTGAGTTACAATTAAATGAAAAATAAAGCATATGTTACTAATGTCGCCAGGCTTTGGCATTTGATGATCAGAGCACCGGGTGGTATTTTAGGATCCTAAAAAGCAAAGCTTCCCTAAATATCCCTTTTATATAGTCACTAGTTTCTCTTACCAATTGAGCAGGTTTTTATAAAAGGCAAAAGAAATATCTGTTTAATGTAAAATGTGAGTCTATAATGTATTTAATTTACCATTCAACCACTCCTTAAGCGAACGCCCATATTTCTATGAAAGCTGTTCAGCTTATTTCATCATATTTGATTGGATTTATTATACTTTTCTCCTTGCAGTAATAATGCTGTGACATATTTTAGGACAGCACTTTCACCCAAAATTTATCAGTAAGGAATGAAGAAACCACAAGCTTCATCATAACTGATGATCAGGACCACCGAACAAATCACAATTATCTACATCTTTTGTTCCTTTAGTAGGTTTTGCTGAAAGCTATTGAAGTGCAGCTGATATGGATGAAACTCACAAATCATTCTGCCAAAGCCAGAAACTTCAGAGCTAAGTCTCAAATCTGTCGAGCAATCTGGTAAACAGTTTCTCCAGATGGAAGAAAGGTGGAAAAATGCATGACTAATTATCAAACGACACCTAAAAGTACAGATTCAGCACCTTAAACTACATTTAAGCCGTTCAACCACCTTATCTTCACACCAGTTAACATCACGTGAATGTTTCTGGACTGTGGGAGAAAACAGAGGAGGATTGTGCAGCCGCTGCCCAGCACGAGCCAGTTTCCTGAAACTATGCAAATGTATTAACAAATGTTTATTATATAATATATACTAGTGTATTATGCAAGTGATCCACTCAACAATATGCAGAACGTTCCCCAGTACACTGTTTATTATGGGAAAATGTTTAAACAATAATTACAAAAAACAAAACAGACAAACAGTTTAAAAATCCAGTTTTCTTTTCATTCAAAACTGCAAAAATGTATATAAACAAAATCCTCTTAGATGCATTGGCCGTGTACACAAGTTTATATTTAACACATTTTATTTTTACAATGTAATATTATTTTATCAAAGCACAACTCTTCAGACCTGCCCTTCACTACACTTCGGAGTCTGCAAATTCCCTCCAAAGGTTCAGGAATCAGGTTGAAAGTCTACAATATGGAAAGAGATACAGAAATAGTAGTGTGTGTGAAGGGATGCAATGTGTTGTGTACGTCTGCTGTGGACCCACATCCTCACACTCAGGCGGCAGGACACACGCACGATTCACTCTCACTGTCCCTGATCCTGACGCTCTTTCAGAGCTAGTATTGCTTTCCGGTAAAGATCTGTCAGGAGACAGGTTGAACTTATAATATTAAAACTGCGATTTCATGCTGTCAGAGTCCAAAGTGTGGTTACTGTATTTTATTGTTGGGTGGAAGAAGTGGATGAGGCTCACCAAAGGTTGCAGAAAGGTCCACGGGCTGCGAATAAGCTGCTGGCATCTCCTCTGTGTTGATCTTGTTTTTTCTTTTCACTTTCACAACTCTCTTCTTCTTCTTCTTTTCTCCTTTAACTAGACAGAAGACAAAAAAGTAGATTTGAGATTCTTAAACAGCTAACCACTAAAACTGAGTGTAATCCAATCACTGCTTTTGGGAACCTTTCAGTGGTTTCTCGTCATTCTCTGGTGATTCTGGCACATCCAGCGTCTCTTCTTTCACCTTTGTTTTGCGTTTAAGTTTGTCCTTTTTTGGAGGGATCAGAGCACTGCTGGCTTTGTCTCTGTGACCAGAGCTATCTTGCTCTCCTTCATTGGCGTCACCGTCCTCTTCCTCTTCGTTCGGCGGTCCCTCATCTTTTTCACCTTCCTTCACCTTAACTGTCTTCTTCTTCTTCTTTGTCTTTAGCTTCTTTTTCAGCGAAGTGTCCTGGAAATAGATTTAATTTAAAGCAAAGTGCAGTTTATACACCTGCCACATCACCAAAATGAAAATTCAAAAGAAGAGAATGGGAGAATTTGTTCTCCAAAGCTGAGGTGGGCATTTTTCTGTATTTCTGAAAATGCAGACTATTAAACGAATCGTGCATCCCGACATTTAGACTTATCATCAATAGAATTGGCAGATTAATCATTAATCGTAGCCCTATTGAAATGAATTTAAAACAGAACATTTAATGCAACAGCTAAAATCATAGTAGAGCAAACACATGAAGACAGACAGCATCTACATGTGCGGTTTAATACAGCCCAATACAACAGATATGCCACAGAAACAAATTTAGGATTTAAGGATTTAGGAGTTTTTGCTTATACAAGTTTTAGTGTGTTTCTTTGAGAATCACCATCATTATTTGCGATGGTACCATCATTATTCTATGAAGAATTTATGGCCTAGCTGCTGATCGCATTACATTTTATAAGGTTTTATAAAGAATGCAAGATATTTTTCTGACCTTTTGCAGCATATTCCGAATGGGTTGCAGCTTTCCTTCGCTCTTGGGTTTTTTCTCCTTGTCTTTGGGCCGATGAACCTTGCGCAGATCTGACTTGCTGGATCTTATTCTGAGGTAATAACAAATTCATGTTAAAACATTAATGCCTTTATCTGCAATATTTGAGCTCTGAAGGCCTTTCTTACCGTTCGGCCTTGGTTTTTCTTTGCACTTTCTCTGCTTTTCCATTCCTCTCCCTCTCTCTTGGCTCCAGAGGCCTTTTGCTGTCCTGAGCTACACGAGCACACAGCTCTGGATAATCCAGACAAACAGCTCGCAGCAACCAGCGAAGACCTCGCAGAGTCTTTCTGTCTGACCAGCGCCGCAGGTCCATTAAGGCTGAACAAGGCTCCTGAGTGGAAACAGAAAGAAAGCTCAGTTTCTTTGCACATCTAAGGAGTCCCCCTTTAATGCAGCGCTGTCTATATTTTATTAAATAAGATTTAAGTCTGATTAGATCATTTTGAAATATTACTTACAATATGGCACAGAGAGCGGCTCTGGTTGACCAACTTCTCTAAAGACAATATCTCAATCAATTCACTACCCAGCAAAGCATTCATTTTATCCTGTTTGTTGGCCAATCTGAAAGCAAAAGAGAAGTGTCACAATTAATATTTTGTTCTGTATTTTTACATGTGAGCCACCAGGGGGCATTGTTTGCACATGATTTGAGATCTGATGTAAAATTCAGACATATAAAACAGAGTGTAATTACACTAGTAGAGGTTTTCCTGCTACCCTCGGCTGCTTCAACAGGTCCGAAAGAACCTCCCTGACTTCCTTTATCCTCTGCCTGTCACCAGAGTCCACAACAAAGATGATGCCATGAGCCTCTCCATAGAGCTCCCTCCAGGTGCCACGGGACTCTGCTGATCCTCCAACATCCAAGAGTGTGACCAGGTAATTCTCCACCCTCAGCTCATGTCTAATGCAGCCATGTGTGGATCCTGATTCGACAACATTGGCGACTGAAGGGGGGAAACACAGGTGGTTACTTGTTGTATTTCTGAAATAAACACTTGAGGTTGAACCCTTGGTAAAGCCACATGCATACCTCTTAGCATGCCTCTGATGGAGGATGTTTTTCCCGCTTTGTCAAGACCAACCACAAGAATGGTCACTTTCCTGCAGACGAATGCATATTGATATTAGCTTAAGATGACTTCTGTGGGTTTTAGGAACAATCAATGAGCTGATGCTACAAGAATGTTTAAAAATAATCTCCTCGAGTGATTGAGAGAGGAAGCGTTTTATTTTTAGTAAGTTCAGCAGGAAGATTGCGAAAGTGTAATATCTGTACCTGATTGGCTCCTGTATTTTGGAGACCCAGTTGCAGCAGTTGCTCATCAGGTTGAACATGTTTACTTGAGGTGAGCAAGGTGTGCACAGTGGCCACCATCTTTTCTGGAACTGGTACCTGCAGACAGATGGTAAATCTCAGTGTGACTCACACACACATACGCAGATAAGGCTGGAAGGTTGAGTCACTTGGGAACGAGGCCAGATCCTTCGCAAAGATGCTTTGTGTCTGTCTCCTGTGGACTTAGGAGACGTTTACAGATGGTCACTCGCGACAGTGCATTCACTGCCCAGGGTTATCCAGGGCGCGGCTTCCGGGCCAGTAGAAGCCCTCATTGGAATTTTATATGGCCCTTCATGAGAAGGAAAGAATGCACTACTTTAAACAGTTCATGTCTATGCATGATAGTTGCAAAAAGCAAGGCTGCAGGCACATTTGTCTTTAACATAAACTCTTCTGTCCACTGAAGCAGATAAAATTTCCTAAATTTGATGTGAAGACATATAACAGCCCCCTCATTAACAGGTAAAATACTGTAAACCAAATCATAATTGAAAACATGAAACACCATGCTCTCTACTCCAACTAAAATGTCCATTATGATGCAACTATCCATGTCGTCCTCTCATTTAGCCTCCTGGGCATCACAGTTCTGAGAATCCCACCACTAACACCAGTTAGTCGACCATAATAGCTAATCTAATTTTGAAAGCTTTTTTTTTCTTTTCCTTCTGGAACCGATGATCTATCAGAACTACATCAAGGATTTCTCAACAGCCACACTCTTCACAAATACTTTTTTAATTGCTAACATATCTAACATATGGGCTCAAGCCTCTCCAAGTACCCCTGAGATAGGCCATTACAAGCAAGCATTGCATGTTTCTCATAACTTCTCTTGATATTGTCTTTATGCCACTGAATGTGTTTTTGCCTCATAGAAGCTCTCTGTCATTGGATGCATGAGCAGTCATCCAGTCATCCTGAAACTTCCCAATAAACACACAGCAGGTGCATCTGAGGTAGGGCATGTGCTAAAAACACACACACACAAGCAGATCTTCCTTTGTCAAGTGCATCTGTTCAGGTCCTGTAATCTGCTAAAGCCAGTTTAGAATGGCCTGCTTTTACAGTGTTGTTAACAAGCTGCCCCATGTTTGTACTGGCTGTAGAAAAGGCCGCCCCTGTTTCTGCTATGGTGTAAGGAGGACTGGTTTTCATATCTCATTGTTTTAGACATTTAAACCAGATTAGTTAGTCATGAGTAGTTTTGAAACACAAGAGAATCACCTATCCAGGGTACTAAATGTGCATGTTGCATGTATTAATTTCAATGACTTCAGTACATTTCAAGCATCACACCCATGTAGCGCACAAAACATAACATTAAATTGTTTATAAAATACAAAACATCAGTTAAGTTTTATCATTTTAAGAGGCATAAATAAAGAAGAAACTGGACTACTAACAATGGAAAATAAGAAACAGTTTTATCTAATTTGATAATAATCCCAAATAATCAGAAGAAAAGATAAAAAAAAAACCCCAACGTTTTATGAAAACTTTTAATCTACCATAAAAGAACGGTTAATCAATTTGGATTCCCCACTAAAACAAAGCAGCAGTTATGACTGATATTTTTTCTACATGGGAAAAACTGCCCTGAAAAAAAACAAACATTTTTCATACAAACACCAACAGTGTCACATGCCTGGTAAAATGCAGTGACTCTATAACTCACAGAAAAGCATTTTAAATTCAGCAGGAGCTATTAGCTGACACCACTACATATAAAAGCTGCAAATTTGAAAGATTTAGCCTTCTGCTCAATGAATACTCACAGAAGTATGTCTATGTCCATGCATTTGTTTGGGTGCTCGTCTTCACTGACATCTTGTACCCATCGGCTACAGAACTAATCAGGCTCACACTAAGCCTTTGGTCACCCCATGTGGGAGGTGCAATCTGGAAAATGTTGTATTGGTTTTTCAACCAATCCCAGAGCTCTCTGAACCAACTTCTAATCCCATTGGATGGCGTGGTCCTTCTGGAACTCGACCAAATGAAGGCGCTTATATCCATCCCCGGAAAACTAAATTTGTCGAGTGGTGTGATCTGTGGCGTGCTGTGATCTCCTTTTCTTAGTCAAGACGAAAGTAGTAGCAGAGCTGGATTTAGGCTGCACAATCTCAGTCTCTCAGTGAGATAATGACACTATGAGGGCCGTTTAGTGTCACACTGAATTTACAATTAAAACAAAAAGATTACAGCCACCTAATATTGTGTGTTGTGCCTCCTTGTGGCTTGAGAGCAGATCAGACCCATCAGTGCTTGGACAGAGGATGCCTGGGGGTGTCCTAGTGGGATAGGCAGCTATTGGGGGTGCAAGTGCACTAGGAGAGGGTGCTTTATAGGCAGCAATGTTTATTGCTTGGGTCTTGTAAAAATAACATCCTTGGGAACCCTACTGAAGGTTTATCAGGAAAACATAAAATGCCATTTGGATGTTTTCTCCTTTTTTGGCTCTCCTTTGATATCTTTTAGCTTTTCTGACAAGAACTTACAAGAAAAAAAATCTCTTTAATGTGAAAGTAAAAACAGATTTATACAATTAAATAAAAATATATCATGTAAAATAAGTTACTGCATAAATATTTCCCCTCTTTTAAAGTGACCGATCTAATTCAAAAGCGGTCCAGCCAGATGGTTGCAGCAACTGCATAATTTGTGAAATGGATATCACCTAAGTGCAGTGAATGTGTCTCAAGTGATTTTAGTACAAAGGCACCCATGTCTGGAAGGTCCAGTCACTGGTTAATCAATATTTCTGGCTACAGTGACACCATGAACATAAAAGAAGACCTAAAGCAACTCAAAGAAAAAGTTATTGAAAAGTATAATTCAGGGAATGGGTACAAAAAAACCCAGGTCACTGAACATTCCCTGGAGCTCAGGTAATGGAAATGTAAAGCGGCACATGTGTAAGTCAGCCTAGAGCAGGTCATCCTCCTAAAACTGAGTGACTGTGCTAGAAGAAGAGTGGTGAGGGAGGCCACCAAAACAGGACACCTATGACCAGTCAGAAGTGCCTAGAAAATTATTTGCTAGTGCTTAAAAAAAAAAGGTAGAAAAATCTCTTCGTTGCAAACAAAGACCCAAATCTCGCATTCATCCAAGGGCATGTGGGAGACTCCGCTGTTGACTGGAAGAAGGTTGTTTAGCCTTCAGACTAGATGCTATGTTTTGGTGCACATCAAGCCATGCACACCATCTCCACTGTGAAACAGGGCGGTGGCAGCAGCAGGCATTCAAAGGCTTGTAAAAGTAGAGGGAAATCCTGGAGAACCGTCTGATTGAGTCTCCGAGGGAACTAAGAATTATTATTCAGCAAAAGCTACACAGCTATGCAGAAATGGTTTAAAAACAACAAGAGGAATGTTTTCAATCAAATCAAAAAGAGTTGTTCACACCTGATCCCCGAGCAAAACTGGCGTTCACACGTGTGAGGTTAATGCTTCTATTGTGGAAAAATGTGGCTATACTGGAAAGGGGTGAATATTTCTGCAGCCAGTTACTTTACATGATAAATGTTATTTTAAGTGAAATTAATGTAGAAGTCTTTCTTTTTTACTTTGACATTAAAGAGGGATTTTTTCTATTTTTTTAAAGCCAAATTATAGTGACCATGATTCTATTTATAAAAGGAATACATGGGAAAATATTCTAGGGGATTAAAGGGGAACTGTAGATGAGGCTGGATAATGAAAAAAAATGCAACAATTATTAGCGGATATATGCTCCTTTATGCATATCTGTGTGCATAATATTGTGCATATGATTTTGTTTTTCATTTTCTTTCTTTTATTTTTAGGGTGACTTTTTACCATGTCGGCTGGGATATTACTTGTGACTTTTGAGATCTTTTTGTCTTAATTTATTCCATTTCTCAAAGAGCACAACAACAGCAAACAGATAAAGATAAAAAATGTATTGAGTGTGAATAATTAGGAGGAAATAAATAACGTGTTATTTTATTTATGTTTTTTTTTCTTTTTAAAAATAAGCAAAGTCAAGTTTGTTTACATATTTATTTATGTAACAGCCATTCATTCTAACATTAGGAAAGCATCATCTGAATATATTACATAATGGTATTAATACCCTAATTAAGCCGCCCGATACAGTTTATGTGTAACATCATCCGCTAGATGGCGTCATAGACACCGGATCTATTCTTGTTGCCTGTGACTGCTGTGCACCATACAATCTAAATCCAGAGTTTTTCCTGGCTCAGCATTAGCTCAGAATCCACACAAGCACAATCACTCCGAGTATATTAAAGGCTGTTAGTCTGTGTTGTCTTGTTTTAATCAAATCGATATATTTTCTTGTTGTTTCTGACCATTTGCAAACAAAAGTGTGAATGAGTAAATGACAACCAAATTTTGTTCTTTGTCTTTAGTAGATAAAACTCTTTGGCGGAATTAGTTATGAAAAATTCCTCAGTGCAGGTAAAACCCTTCAATACTATAAATTAATCTCAAAACAAGTCACCTTAAAGATTCCCCCAAAGCCCGATGCTCAGCGAAAAACCCACATATAGTTAAGGGTGAGTGAAAGAGGTGGGGTTTCTGCAGCCATGATTTAATTTGTGAGCAAATAAATATGTAATGGCTTCTTTCAGAGAGTGGGATCAGTGGCTTCTGTGAGAGCTTTATCTCATTATGTCATTAAACCGACTTCCAATCAGCCACTGCCTCCCTCTGCTGAGTAAACTCATCCAAAGCTCTGACCACAGCCCTGCGTCAGCTGACACACACATACACACACGCACACACAGTGATAAACAGCAGCAGTTCAGCACCACACCCCTATCTCCTCCTGTTGTCCACACTGCTATCATGTTTCAAAGACCCCCAACTTCCAATATTGCTACTGCTTCTCAGCTTACATTAGGCTGCTTTTCACATTCTGGTTTGAAAAACCGTCGAGTGAACTGTTAGATATTTTGGAAAGTAATCAGTGTATTAATGAATGTATGCTTGGGATTGCATTGCTCTTTCTTATGTACACATTTGGACAGACCCAGGGTGACTGTTAAAAAACTGTAAACAGACAACCAGCGCACCCTTTTCCTATGTAATGTAATGTAATGTTAGGTCCCTTTCGCAATGCCAGGCATGATTAGTTACAGGGCAGCTGATTAGACGAGAAGAGGTCACGTTTGGGTGAGCTGTGTTGAAAAACTGGAAAAACTTCCTCTGGTTTTTTGTTTGTTTTTTTTGTAGAGAAGAGGAAATTATGGCACAATGCTATAACCACAATGGTGTAAACTGAGCTTCTTTTCTTCTCTAGTTCAGCAAAATAAAAAAGGAGGGTGGGGGCTTATTTAAAAGCTTTTGGTCCACCAGCTTTTTAATCTAATTGATCAGAAAAGGTGAAAATCCCAGAAAAAGGCTCAGATACTAACTGAAATGAACCCCCACACTGAAACCTAAATGTGCGGTTGAGTGGAGGTGTCAGGCAGTTCACTCCAGCTTGTGGCTTTCTCATGCTCCTTGAACAGTGATAACCCTTGTTTGCGTGAAGAGATGAGCAAACAACCAAATGGTTCCCACTTGTACTGCAGAGCGCATTGACTAATGAGTGCCCTTCTAACTAACAGTTACATAGGGGGGAAATATCTCTGTGAGACTGAGTGCAGTTTTAGGAGTTCCCTGCAGCTGTTTGTGTGCCTGCTCCACTCTCAGGCCTGAAGGTTACTACAATAGAACCAAGCCTGCATGTGGCAACTAAAAATGGAAGTGAAAATGATCTCTGTGCTCTCGCCCTCACAGTGTTTTTCCATTTGTATACTCTATGCAATAAAAGTGTAGTGCTGTTTCTCACTGTTTTACCTCTGTGTGTGAGAGAGGAGAGGTTAGTCTGAGAATAAAACACAACGATTGTTAGGGTTTGTATAACATTTTCTAACAGATTATTAGTACTTACTGAAGATGAACACTGATGCACTCCTCCTTCAGTTGTAGTAGCTCTAGTGCCAGTGGGAGTTTTCCTATGCAGCCAGCCACATGTTTGCCCACTGAAATTAAACCTTAAACACTTTTTAAAACTTCTAGCTCCTTTGTTTTGCTATATTTTAAACAAAGGCTGACTATCATTAAAAGTTTCTTATCTCTGATATCTACTAATTAGGTACATACTCGTTTAATTAATCGTGAACCATACTGTATTTCATTGACAGAGTAAACTGCACTTTAACAATTACAAATAATCTTTATAATATTCCCATATTGTGTGTGCGTAGCCTATATTTTTTAACAGTGTTGGGAAGGTTACTTTTAAAATGTATTCCACTACAGATTACAGA